TGGCCATTTCAAGAGAAGGGGGTTGCATGATTGATACTGTTTTTTTGTGTGACAGACTCTCGGTAATGGTAATTTGAACATCGTCCAGTCCCCCCGAGAAAGGCCCTTTCTTATCAGCAACTGCACCAGCGAGGAACGGCAAGAAAAGCTTTCTAGATACAGGAATAAGAAGACAAAAAGAAATTTTGGGAGGAAAATCAAGGTAAAAATCTCTTGGAAGTTTTGCACCGGTATATGATGGGGTGGAAAGAGTGATATATATGTATTATTGGTTACTGCTTCCTGCTTAGAACATGATTTTCATCTGTCTTTTTTTCCGATGGTTTGTAGAATTTATTTTCATCCATTCCTTTGGTGAGTTTAAGGTTTCATATATCATGAAATGAGTAATGTCTTCTATGAATCTTAATCTTCAACTTCCGACGCTTCTGAATGTGCCATTATCAATTGCTGATGTTTTTTTATAAGATCAACGAAGTAAGAAGCCGTTTGACTAATCCTTTAACATGCTTTGAAGTTGTTTAGTATACATTAACCACAGTTTTCTTATGCAATCAAGCTTCACTATTGTGTTATTTTCGGCCTATCAAACATTTTCCGAACTCAACTAATGATGTCCTTCGGTTTCAGTATGCTTGCAGGAAGGCTCTTGCTGACAGTCAACCAAGAATCCGTGGAAGATTTGCAAAGACCGAAGAATCCGATGCCAAAAGACAATAACTCGGAACTGATCCAGACGGACGAAGAATCAAGAAACTATGAACCAATTAGCTAATATCTGATCAAGCTTATGGAAGAGCTCAGCAGCAATATGTGCATGGAAATTATATACTTGATGGAGTTCTATAAGTTGAACAGATATTGCCAAATAAACTAGAACCTAAGCTCCTTAGCTAGCTCATCTCTTATCTTCTGTAATAACATTCTCTGTAGACAGAAATTATCTTATAGAATGTAAGTAGGATTTGATAAATAAAAATCATGTTCATATGTATCAATATATTATGTAATAGCAATGTTTAGTTTTCATTAGTTATTTTTCTGAAAAGCATTGTTAGAGCCAGATGTAGATTATTTTACTATAATGAAGCTTTCTATAATGTGTATTTTTGAAAAATGCTAGAAGTACAATTTAGAAACTAAGTAATGATAATATGTGTATTTTAATAAACTGTTTAGACAGCACCACACATTACAATTAACTTTCCTCTTTCAAATTTTGGGCTTAAAGTATAACAATGCTAAAACAGTTGTGCTTTTTATTTTATTTTATGTATTTACATTTTGATTTTGTCAACTGACAAAGATGTAAAATAATGTGAGATTAGAAGATTTGCATAAATTTCTCTTAAAATAAGTTGTGCCACCCCTACAATTAGTTAAGTTGTGGAACCGTTCGATTTCATTTCACCTTGAAAAATAAAATAAAGTACCATGCATCATTGATTACGTAATTGTAATTGTCATTGTAAATATTTATATATAATCAACCCATCATTTATTTAGATTATTTTTTTTTAAAAGTCAATTTTAAATAAATATGAATGGTGAATAATACAGTAAGATTATATAAAGCTCTAAACATGTTCCATTTTATTATCCCAAAACTTTAGCATGCTACTCTAATAAGTAAACCAACACTTCATAAGTAAAACAAATAATTTTATTATATATCCTTTAACATTTGTCAACCTCATATACAGAATATAACACATATCCCAACCAAACGAAAGAAAATAAAATAAGAGTGAAAATTTGTATACACTCAGTACATATATGTGTTTTATACCCTATATTAAATGTGTATAAATTTTTACACCGGTAAATAAATATCATAGTTTTAAGATAAAACATGAATCATGTTTTCTCTCGGCCCCAGCCAGATCAGCACGTGATCACCTGATATGCTTTATTGACTTTAGCTTCAAAACCATATATCATGTTATAGCAACTCCCTCATCAAACAAAACTCTTATTCTGAATTGGATGCTATAAATTATTTTATAATTTTATTTCACATTCACTTAAATTAAGAATATTAAATATTTTTTCTGACAATAGCAAATATAATTTTTATTTTTATTTGGATTTCATAATTTATCTACAATAAATATAATCAAATATTATAAAATTGAGTAGTTTTAAAAAAATGTTTTTATGAGACGTCATGTGATTTATAAATGAATTTTATCTTATTATATTGGCCAAACATGACTTCTTAGTAATTTTTGTGAAACAATTATCTCTCACTAAAGGGAAAATTTACTTAAATGGCGTATGTTGACTTTTTATTTACGGTTATAGTGTAACTTTTAAAATATTTACTAGAGTAGTGTAATTTTTGTATAATTTGTTGATAGAAACCACATTTTTCTTTTCTCTCTGATCTTCGTTTACCCAGTCCACGCTTCCTTGGTTCACTTTCCAAGTTACTTTTTTATTTTATATAATTATATAATTTAAGTTTGCAGTTTTTTATGGTTAAGTTAAGTTTTTTTTATGAGGAGGAGTCCATCGACTCTAAAAGTAAGTTTATTCCTCATCTTAATCATCACTTTTACGGAAATCCAATAGTTTGAATTAATGAGTAGATCTAAACTTACTCTTAGAGCTTATAAAAAAAACCTTAATTTAACCATAAACTTAAATTATATAATTATATAAAATAGAAAAATAACTTGGAAAACGTGGATGAGGAAAACGTTTTCCAGTAAACCCAGGGAAGCGTGGACTAGGTAAACAAAGACCATAGAGAGAAAAGAAAAACACTATAAACTTAAATAAAAAGTCATCATTCACCATTTAAGTAAATTTTCCCTCACTAAACGGCTTTACTCAAATTTGAAAGAAAAATAAAGTGGGATGCTCAAGAAGTCAACAAAGTCATGTTTGCTTAAGAGAACTCTCTTAAGTTTTAAAAGAAGAAAATATGATAGTCTAATAGTTTTTTACACTATTATTCATCATTCAGTTTTTTAATCATCATTGTCTTTTAAATAAAAGTAATATAATTGAATGATGAATAATAATATAATTTTTTATACCAAAATTACAGTCTTAGAAAAATCAGTCAAACTATTTTATAATATTAGATATGAATTTAAGTATAAGGAATGTCCTAGACACACCATAAAATGTGTTCTTAAATAAGATCATATTCTTTGAATAGCCTTGGCAACAAAACAATTAAAATATATTGTTAGGCTTTATTTGGTTGAGATAAGAGAGTAAGAAGATAAAAAGATATGAGAGGGATAGCAAGGAGAAGGAAAATGATGAAAACTTAATAAATTTTTATATTATTTAATAAAATTGAAATGAAAAGGAAAAATAAAAGAAAAAATGTTTTCTTCTCTATATCTCTTCTTTGGTTGAATGAAAAGATGTTATATTTGAAAGACAAAATTATCCTCATTATTAAAAGTTATATTTGTTATTGAGACTATCAACCTTTTTCTACTATACTTTTCTCTACATTTGGTGAGAAATTATTTTTTCTCTTGTTCTCAACTAAATGAGATAAATGTCCATTTTCTCCACAAATTGTCTTCCGTCTACTTCTTTCATTGCTGTTTGTTGAGCCGGCTGAGCCTAATAGAATTATTGATGGTGCTACATCCAATTTCAAGAGAATAACTCAACCATTAAACAAATTTAAAGATTATGATTAGATTATATTTTGAAGGAATATAATCCTAAATTTAAATATTATCTTATTTAATCAGGAGAAGATCATGATAAAATAATATTTTAATTATCTTTATATTTACTTTTCAAATAATGGAATTGAGATTAGATTTATCAATCCATATATTAGTTTTGGGGAGGGATCCATTTCCTTCAAGAGTAAGTGAAAAAACCTACTCCACATCTTAGCCATCCAATTTTAAAAAATTCAATGGTTTAAATGTATTCATCAATTCAAACTATTAGATTTCCTATGATGTGAAATAAGTTTTTTTCATTTAGTCTTGAAGGTCTTGGAGTAAGTGGATTCTCTCCCATTAATTTTTAATACTATTTAAACAATATTGAAATTATTTGAATAAACAAGTATTAGATCTTTAAGAAGAAGAAGAATCTCACAGGTGTGAGGCTCTTATATGCATAGAACATGGTTGAAATCAATTTTATGTGATCCAACTCGTGAATTCTGTCCCCAACCTTATTCTCTTCTGCTAAACAAATCATCCTCCTTGCACTATCCAATTCTACTTCTTCCACCTATTCACTTTTATTTCACTATCTTTCTTTTTTTGATATCTCCTATAGGTATTATCTCACTATAGAATAAAGAATTAATCTTTTTTTTTTTTGGGTATATAAGTGTCCTTACAAAAAGTATACCTCGAACATTTGATCTTTAATTTCAGTGACTTTTTCTTCAGCCTTTAACTCTGCAAATAAAAATAAACCCATTAAACAAATTGCTTTCAGCTTTCCCTTTTAAGCTACCTTCTATAGAAGTCTCCTATGCCAACAGTGCCTTCCATTTTACAAATAACTCATATCAGTTTCGTTTTTTGGGATAAAAGTCATCAATCCATAAAATAATAATAAATCATGTTATCCATTATCAATAAATTAGATACCACAAAGGTTTATATATGTTGTGCTTGTTTTTTCTCTATATATGGCTAGAATGGGTAACATAATATTGAAAAGATGAACAAAGTCAACAATTTTGAATGGCTTCCCAATTGTTTTCAAACCAAAAAGTGCAATGAAAATACAAAATCAATTCTTTCAATTTCTATAGCTTTTTATCAATACTCATGATTGATATATGATGAAACACAACATATAAATAAAGAAAGATAAATTTGTGAAAGTTGAGTCAATGGTACTTCTACAATAAAACACCCAATGATGAAGAACCTTACGCAATTCATCATATCAAATTAAAGGGAACAAAATAAAATAGAACCCAATACTAAAAATCAAATCTTTAATTAAAAACATTAATCACTTTTGACTGTTAAAGATTCCTGAATTTCAGTTCAGCTTATTTGCACTGTTGCAGGTCCTCCTCCACCAACAGAAAACACTGCTGAAACAAAAATAACATTAAAACAAGTAAAATAGTAACCAGACATATATAATGAACAATTTAGGTAAATTCTCTGCTCCTATGTCCAACCACAAAACCTATAAATATAAAGAAAACTTTTTATAAACATCAAATTCCAAGGAACAAGTTTTTTAGTGTCCTGAAATTCCCAATCCCAAACCATAGACTAGAAAAGGAAGACAACATCACCAACAACAATAAAAAAAGTATAGCAAATCATAGAACAAAAACTAAGGACAAACATCATAATTCAACAACAAAAACATGTTTCTCATTATGTAGACACACACATAATATATAATTTGCACACTCCAAATTTCTTGGAACTAAATTTAGCAGCCATTATTTTCAAATCCTTGTCTACTTAAAACTTTGCCATAGCCATTGCATTTGAACTAAAGAGTTTTGGAACAAATAATGTGACAACATGAAACCTGACCCATGATGATGCAGAACCAGAATGTTATCATCACTAAGGAAGAAGAATTTGTGCTATTAACACGCAATGCGCAAGTTAGCCTAAGCATATGGACCCATTACATTACATTACAATCCAAACTAAATGTAAACTCTTACTCAAGATAATGCTGAGACTCTCACTTTCTCTCTCTTACTCTTCTTAGTTCTCACCCTTTTCCTTCTTCCTTCTCTCTCTATAAAATTTTCTTCATTTTTTTTGCTCAGTTCTATAAAATACAAATTTTTACATTACATTTTTTATTTTCATAAAATTTTATGCTTCTCTGTTTTCTGTGGTAGTTGGTGGGAAGAAAACTTGATCCAAAAAAAGAACAGATCCCTTTTTTATTTCACTCTTTTATGCTCATTCGATCTTCACGATAAAAAAAAATTCTGCATTTATAAACTCGATTTCTTCATTTCTGCGAGCCTTTTGTTTCGTTTCTCAATTTCTCTGCTCAAAATTTCGTCTTGCGTGTTATTCTCCGCGGTTGCTCTGTTTCTCAGAATTTGAATTAGCGATTAGGGTTTTATGATATATGCTCTGTTTCTTCGTTTTTATTGAAGGTTCTCTTTCTGGGGTTGATTTAGCTACGATTTTGACCAGACCCTTGTATTGAATTTGAATGGTAGAATGATTATCAAGCGGAATTTGAAATCCCAAATGCCAAGTGTGAAACGGTGCAAACTAATGGACCCGGTTGGTGAAAAAAACGAGTGTTCTTATGCTCGTAAGAAGAGGAAGAAAATGAGTAACGATTACTACCCTTTGAACCTTCTCGGCGACATCGCCTCCGGTGAAATTCCGGTGAGCTTTCACGGCCTGCTGACCGAGAAAGGGTTCTCTGCTTCATGGTGCACCGAAGTTTCGTGCTCCCCACCCTGTGAAGTGGATTCGAATTCGAACGGTGGTGGCAGTGGTGGTGGTGCTACAAAGAACCAAGGCGGCGAGGTTCAGCGCCCACCTCTGGTTAGGACCTCAAGAGGGAGGGTTCAGGTGCTGCCATCGCGGTTCAATGATTCTATTATTGATAATTGGAGAAAGGACAGCAAGAGCAGCTTGCATGATTGTGAAATTGATGATGACTTTGAACCCAAGAGAGGGAAATTAGGTTCCAAAGCTCCGAAAAGTTGCAACCAGAATGCAAAAAAAGGGCGAAAGGATGAGAAAATCAGTTACAAGCCTCAAAAGTATCCAGCATTGTGTGAGGGGAAGGCGAGGAAAGATGTCGGTACGAGGTTTAGGAGTTTTGATGTGAGAGGGAGGTTTTTGGAGATGGAAGGAGTTGAGTCAATGGGAAACAAGAGTGCTTCGAAGGAGAATAGGGAGAGGAAAGATGGGTTATATGGGCCAGAAGATTTTTATGCAGGTGATATAGTGTGGGCTAAAGCAAGGAGAAGGGAACCTTTTTGGCCAGCCATTGTGATTGATCCTATGTCTCAGGCACCTGAACTGGTCATAAGGTCTTGTGTAGCTGATGCAGCTTGTGTAATGTTTCTTGGGTTTGCAGGGAATAAAAATCAAAGAGTATGAGTCATTACTATGAATTAGTTACATTCCTTATATAGAATTTCCTTGCTATTTAAGAAATTGGCTATTTATTGCGCTTTTCATGATTTGAACAGGACTATGGATGGGTCAGGGATGGGATGATTTTTCCATTTATGGATTATGTAGACAGGTATTGAGTTGTTTGTTATTATCTATATGTTAATGTTGTTTAAAATTTTTATATGTGGAAGAATTTGTTGCTTACTAGGCATGATATTCCTTGGTTTAGGTTTCAGGGGCAAACTGAATTAAGTTACTATAACCCCTCTCAATTCCAAGTGGCAATAGAAGAGGCATATTTGGCAGACCAGGGCCACACAGAGAAGTTGTTAGCAGATATAAATTCAGCAGCTGCTAACACTGATATTGATGATACTATTCTGAAAGTCCTTCAGGAGGACACTGGTCTAAATCGGTATGCAAGATATCACTTTCTGAACCAGGTAGATCAGCTAAAAGGCTTTTTTTTTCCGTCCACATTTGGGAAATTGCATGGCTGTTAAAGTACTTGTGCCTCATATTTGGGGGACAGTTAAGGGAAGCTGATAATACAAACTTAGTTAGCAACTGGAAAAGTCCTTATCTGATGATTTGTAGATTTGACACTCTGATTTTGTTTTGCTTTAGTTATAGAGTGATAACACCAGCTTTTGAAATTTGGTCAAGTTTAACAGTTCATTGATTTGAATCCCCAATGCAGGAATTATTTGATAAGGACACGCAACCATGTGAAGCCTGTGGGTTGGCCCTTAATTTCAAAATGTCCAAGAAACTAAAGGATTCAACTCCTGGTGGCCAATTCCTATGTAAAACATGTGCTAGGGTTTGTATATCTTGCCTTTTCCTCCTAACAATATATATTCAAGTCTGCAATAAAATTCTTACAGTTGAAGTTCCAATTTAGTTTTAAATTGCATATTTTGTAGTCTTTGAAAACATTTTTTCTGGGCAGTTAACAAAATCAAATCACTATTGTGGCATATGCAAGAAAGTTTGGAATCATTCAGATAGCGGCAGCTGGGTGAGTTAGTTGGTTCTGTTAGCTAACTAAGGCTATTTTTTCTTCTTCTCAAAGACTATTGCTTTGTTTGTAATTTATAGTATTAATCGGTTTCCTTTTCTGGATGTCCCTTCTCCTTCTGAATCAGGTTCGCTGTGATGGGTGTAAAGTCTGGGTGCACGCAGAATGTGACAAAATTCCCAGGAGCATTTTCAAGGTTTGCCTGTTACATGATATTTTAATGATGTCTTTTCTCAGCATTTGAAGCTAACAAAGTGACATTTTGGTGTTTTGCTGATTGGTATATTCTTTTTTCCTGAAGAACCTTGAAGGCACTGAATATTTCTGCCCTACTTGCAAAGCCAAGTTTGATTTTGAGTTATCTGATTCAGAAAAATTACGGTCAAAAACCAAGTAAGTCTGTCATAGTTCCATTTTTTCCTCATTGAAATGATTACACGTAAAGTTCTCTAGAGGCTCATGCCATATGTTAGTATTCAAGCTCATCTACCAGATATGATTATTTTTGTTAGGTGTTTTAGAAAATGTCATTTTAGATCTATACTTCACAGTTTTCCTAACTATAGTGGGGGCTTTGGTACAGGTGTAACAAAAACAATGGGCAGCTAGTGCTTCCAAATAAGGTCACTGTTCTCTGCAATGGTGTAGAAGGCATATATTTTTCAAGCCTTCACTTGTAAGCAAAACTCTTTCAGAAGTATTTACATAAATTTTTCTCTGTCCTTGGTTTCTCTCTTTTGTTTTTTCTTTTAATTGTTATAGCTTATAATAAGTAGTAATATATTAATTTGTTTCTCTGGATTAGCAAATAATACCTATTTGGTTGCGATTTTCGGGATATTCCTGCTTAAGTTTGTAGTTGATCAAGTATCCGCACTCTTATAAAATATTCTGTTCAAAGAATATTCTATTTTGCTCTTATGATCCATGGAAAGATTACTATTTTTCATCATTTTTTTATGTTGATCAATTTTTTCACCAAATTCCTGTCAAACAAAATTTGATAAACTTTGTTTTAGACTTACTCTTGAAGCCAGTCCAGGTTTTCTAATATGTAAGCTAGCTTATTATTCAAAGTTCGCATTATAGCTTTTCGAATTGATTGATGCTTATTTTGAATGTGCTGTTATTATTATTACCTCTATATTTTGAAAATGATTCAGTTCTTCTTGTTTTTGGGTTATGAAACATGTTCTTCCCCCTCAGAGTTGTGTGCAAGTGTGACTTTTGTGGGACTGAAAAGCAAGCACTTAGCGATTGGGAAAAACACACAGGTTCCAAATTAAGGAATTGGAAGACAACTATTAGGGTGAAGGACTCCATGCTACCATTGGAACAATGGGTTTGTATTTTACCATTATTTAGTTATGATGCATAATTTTTCCTATGTCTTTGAGATTAAAATATACTACTTATTTATTGGTTATTTTAGTACATTATGATAAATCTAGTGTCTCACCATCCTCTTTTCAGACTAATTCAGTATAATACAATCTATGTACTTATGGGCTTTCAATATAAGTAGAGTATTGCCAATTAGTACTATTAATTTATGTTCTTTCCCTTTATGGTATGGGTTTTAAATTTGGTAATATCTCTATATGTCAATAATCTATATGTTTGAATTTTGTAGTCTTCTCTTCAGTTCAAAATATCAATGATATGTGGCTATTGAGAAACTCTGAAAACTCATAATATTATCAATAGTACGTGGTCAAGAAAAACCATAGGCGAAACGATTAGCAAAGATTTAGAAATCGATGCTTTGTCAATGAACATGATTTATGATAGAGCATTATGGTGTAGTTCGATCCATGTACCCAACCTCGCCTAATAATAAGATTAAGGCTGTTGTTGATATATGGTTACATGTGACAAAAAATGCAATGTATTTGACTTTTCAGATGCTGCGGTTGGCAGAATCTCATGCTAAGGCTGTAGTTACTGCCAAACCTAGGAAACCTTCTCTAAAAGAAAGGAAGCAGAAGTTGCTTACTTTCTTGCGAGGTATCCTTTTGATTCCTTTTTGTGTACAACTTTACAATATGATGAGTTTGCTATGTGAAGTTCTCAGAGTTATAATGTTACTGCAAACTATTTCCTCTGGCAGAGAAATATGAACCTGTTAATGCTAAGTGGACTACAGAACGTTGTGCTGTATGTAGATGGGTTGAAGACTGGGATTACAACAAAATTATCATTTGCAACAGGTAATATAACATCTTTTGTTTCTTACTGTCGCATTTATTATCAATCGTCAAC